CCTTCCCCTAAATTGTCATAGTTCTCAGAGACCCGCCCTTAAACTACTTCCTTTGTCTCCCTGTGCATTCTCCCCAAGCAGCATATCTTTTCTCAAAGACCTTTTGTTTTGTGACTCCTAAATTTCTATATGCAGCTCGGACTTCAGTCCTTAAGACCCTACTGTGTACTGTGTACCTCCACTGACCACAGCAAAGGCACCTGACATTCGCATGCCCCAGAGTGAGCTGGTCAATATCCCCGCTCTGTCTTCCTCCTCCCTCTCTCTACACCCTTCCCTCCCCCCATCTAATAGCTCTTTATCTAGGTTAATAATACTATCATTCTAGAAGCATAAAGGCCGTCCTTCCTCCTTGACTATACTCTGTTCTACACCACCTACATCCATGTGGTCACTAGGCTGGGTGGGCATTTTGCCTCCTCAGTGGCTTTGAGATCTGTTATCTTTTCAAGTTCATTGCCATTGCCTTGGTGCCCAGCCCTCATTATCTCACCCTCGCCAATATAATAGCTGCCAGTCGTGTCTCTCTCAAGTTTATCCTCCTTGTAATTGGCAATATCTTCCTGGAACTCAAATTTGAACATGCCCTCCCTGGCCAGTGTTATCGGTGACTTCCATTTCCAGGGGATACTGTCCAAACCCTCTAAAGTAGGGGTGGGAATGTCCGGCCCTTGGGCCATATAAGGCCCTCAAAATCATTTGGCCTGGCCCTGCCAACACACTAGGGGTGAGTTAATTAAATGTTCGACCAAACACAGCAGGCTAATTTTAAGTTGATAACTTCGTATGGCCCTGGAATGATGTTACAAATATCCAAATGGCCCTTGGCAGAAAATAGGTTCCTCACCCCTGCTCTGAGGCATGTTAAGGTCTGCCCCCTCCTACACCTCCTGCTGCTTGCTCTTCCCCTTAGTCATCATCGCTGCTTCTGCATGTACTGTGTGCCTGCACATTTCTATGCATTTGTCCTGCCATTTCTTCTATCTGGATGCCCTCCCTGCCCCCCCCCCCCCCCCCCCCGGCCACCTTCCACCTGGAGAAATCTTGTGATTTAGTTCAAAGTGAGGCTTCTTGACCTAACCCCACAGTGTTAGTACCACCCTCTCTGTGTTCACTGAGCATCTTGCTCAGGTCTCTCTTACAGAACCAATCACATTGTGTTCCAGTGGTTTACTTGGTTATTCCTTCTATTATCCTGTGAATTGTTTGGGTCTGATGGTACTTTATTATTCCTTGTATCTTCAGTGCCGGTAGAGTGGCTGACATACAGAAAGTCTACATGTCATATAGATGTCCCCTGAACGAATGGAAAGGAAACTGAGGTAACATCTGGGTAGCTTACATGTAAAAGAAAACCTTGCTATTGTCTTCAAAGCACGAAGAAATTTTCTTCACTTGGCCTAGAACAGTGATGGCGAACCTTTTGAGCTCGGCGTGTCAGCTTTTTGAAAAACCCTAACTTAATTCTGGTGCCGTGTCACATATAGAAATTTTTTGATATTTGCAACCATAGTAAAACAAAGACTTATATTTTTGATATTTATTTTATATATTTAAATGCCATTTAACAAAGGAAAATCACCAAAAAAATGAGTTCGCGTGTCACCTCTGACACGCGTGTCATAGGTTCGCCATCACTGGCCTAGAACTTGGTGAAACTGCTCCATTCGCCTTCCTTGTGCTGTGCACAGTCTCTCCTTACACTTCAGACTGATTCAGGACTTTCAGCAAAGGGCCTGATCCTCCTGAAGGAGGAGTAACACCTGATAACAAAGTCTGGGCACCTCTTGGCTTCTCTCCTTTGAGATTTCAGACCAGAGGGCTTCTGGGGAACTGCTGGAGCTCAGCAAACGTTACCCTTCATCTCCACGACGGAAAAGGGATCTTCGTTTTGTAGCGCTTGTGGAATGTGTCAGGGCCTGTCCCTTTCCCTTGGGAGGGAAGAGCTGCTCGGCCCCAGTCTGTTAGCTGTGCGTGGAGATACCGTTGGGGGATGACGCCGAAGAGCCCCCTCAGTGTCATCACGCTCAGGTGCGAGGCTGGGAGACTCTTCACCTGCATCTGTCCGTCAGCTCCTCAAGGCCAGTTCCTAGTCGCAGGCCTAGCCGCCTGCTACAGAGAGGGTCCTGCTGAACACGGGGCGGGAAGGTGGCAGTGTGTCCTTTCTCCTATGTGTTTTGGACCCTTTGGACCCACATGAAATGTCACCAGGTGCCTCATGAAAAAGAGGCATCATTTTTTCATTAAGTCCTGGGTTTTTCACTGTGTAAATAACTAGTCACATTAATTGAGCATTTGAAGTCATTCATAAATGGGTTTGAACCCTGATTCTGAGACTTGGGTCCTGTGATCTGGGCCAGAGAGGCTTGGAGCACCAAGAGGGATTTCAAACACTGGATGGAACTGGATAAAGCGGGAATCTAAGTCAGCGTGGAGCTGGGGTTCCAGGGAGGTGGCCAGCTTTGAGAAACTGGTTGAAGAACCTAGTTTCTGAAGAGCGGGCATCCAAGGGCTCACAGCAAGAATGCCAAACTGCTAAGACACGGAGCCATTAACCAGAGCTCCCTGAGTCTCCCCCAGAGAACAGGACTAATTCAACTTTGGGGCAGTGCTGAACCTGAGGTCTGGGTTACCTGGAACCTGTTATGAGGATTACAGTTATGGGGGCAGGACACAGAAAAAATTGTAATATATTCGCTTTCATTGTTGGTCTGTTGGTTTTGCACCCTGTTTCCTCTCTTTAGCTCAGCTATGCCACTACTTCCTTCAGTTCTTTCCTGGTTTCCAGGTGAGCAGGGTCTGTTCCCTCTTGGCCTGCGATCACCTCCCTGACGAGATGTCACAGCCACTGCCCGACAGCTCCCTGCCTCACAAGCATGGCCAGGGTCCCTCAGGCTTCGAGCACAGTGAGTCTTAGACCAGCCTCTGCCATCGTTACACATAGTTATTCATGATCTTACCGGGGGCTCAGAGCTGGCTGATTCACCTCCATCAATAGTCCCTGCCCATCCCCCTCTCTTCTCTTCACCCAGCTTCTTTCTCCCCTTTCAGTCCTACATTGTAGATCTCTCTGATTGACTTCTCTCCGACTGACTTGTCACCCTAGCTGCTCTAGTCTTCATCAGCTCAATCATAGTGAGTAACTGAGGATAATTATTCTCAACATTTATGGAGCTCTTACTATAGGTCAAGTATATGATTTCATTTTTAATCTCACAAAAACCCCCACTATAAATAGATTGTTATAATCTGACTTTTACTGATGAGGAAACTCAGAGTGGTTAAGAGTTTAGGCTCCTTCAGTTCAATAAATATTTAGTGACTGCTGAAAATCTCATGTGTCTATATCCCTTGTGTCACACAAAATATCACCATAACCTTTCTTCAGAGAGTTGAAATATATGTAGTTTTTTGAAATCATTATCTCTCTTGGCAAGTCCTTCAGTGTCTTTCTTAACGCATCTTAGATGTTACTTCTGATTAAAATGGGGTTAACCCGGCCTCTTTGATTAATGTCTTCATTTTTTAGAGGAACAAAGGCTTCTGGTGGAGAAGCGACTTACACTGGGTCATGTGGCAGAGTGAGCACCTATGTCTCCTAACACTGGGCTGGTGTTATTCTGATGTACTTAGCACGTGAAGTTTTATTGGCACCAGGGGAATGATTTCTCGTTTATATTACAGAAGTCAATTTATTTTTTCATAGAAGAGTAATATGTGGACATACAGCTTTACCTGCAACATATCAGAGTGGATTCCTGGATCTGCTAAGTGTTTCTAAACTGCAGAAAAATTCCCCTACCGTCTTACATGTCAGAACTTTTCAGCATGAAATAAATGCCTGATCACTCACCTCACTTTTCTGCCAAAAATAAAGCACAGCCACTCTCCGGACTCTGACCTTCTATAGAAGTGTAATCCTCCTTCCAAATCCATTCTTCAGTGAGGGACACCCACTTTTTCCCATTGGCTTCGTCCAATCTTGGTGTTATAAGGGCAGGATGTTTAGAAGTTGAAGTCATTGACTTTCAAAATGAGAAGCTATGTTGGAGAGTGTCTTGTTTATACTGTTTATGTAACTTGGAGCAGTGTTGCCACCAAGGTAGCCGCTGGTTTTATGTAGTTCTTACTAAGAAATTAACATAATAGCATTTAGCCAGCCTCAGGCTATATGACAGGACTTCGAAGTCCCCAGGAAGCGTTATCTTTGGGAGCTGGGAAAGAATTATTCCTCCTGTCTTTATATATTGATAAGCCGAGGCCATGAAAGACCAAAGCAGCTTTGTGTGCTTTACCCCTGGTCACCACCACTCTGAGATGGACTTCTTTAGATTTCACATATAAGAGATACCATACAGTATTTATCTTTCTCTGGTTTATTTCACTTAGCATAATGCCCTCCAGGTCCATTCAATTTGTTGCAAATGGCAGGATTTTCTTCTTTCTCATGGCTGGATAGTAATCCATTGAATATATATAGTACCACTTTTTTTAAAAATCCATTCATTTGTTGATGGGCACTTAGGTTGTTTCCATGCCTTGGTTATCATGAATAATGCTGCAATGAACATGGGAGTACAGCTATCTCTATGAGATCCTGATTTCAATTTCCTTGGATATATACCCAGAAGTGGGTTGCTAGGTAGTTCTAACTTTAATTATCTGAAGAGCCTCCATACTGTTCTCCCTAGTGCTGTTCTAATTTGCATTCTTACCAACAGTGCACTAGGGTTTACGTGGGAATTCTTCATACTAAGTTTACTACATTTTTATATTAGTTTGAAATTTTGTCAAAATGAAAATTAAAATATTAAAAAGCAAAGAATAACAATGGTAAGATAAATAAGCAGTAAAATCTATTTTCTGCTATTTATTTGATTTTTTTAAAATCTCTGAGGAAAAGGAGACCATTCTTTTTCCAAAAGCATAAATCACATTGGTGAAGAGACTCGGCTGAGAATGCTGCTGATATTGGGGGTCCCTTTCCTATGTCTCCCCAGGCGCAGCGAACCTGCAGGCCGACCACACTCTTGGCATTCAACAAAAATTGAGGAGAACCAACCCAATGCCAGCATGATGCAAATATCTCAGGGCACGATTGGCACTCCTTGGCCCCAAAGCTACCATTCCAGGTAAGTGGCCAAAGCTGAGACCCAGGGGTTTCTTTCCTTCAAATGTCCTGTTCCCCGGAAGAACATTTTTTTTCTGCTTTGAGAACACTTTCTTCCATTTATCCTGAGTATTAAATCCGTCTCCCCAATACCTTCCTCATCCTCTTAAAATTCCTATCCTGTGTACCACTCATCTTGATCTCCTTGGCCAGGGTGGTGTGAAGCAAGGACAGCATTATTTTGAGCTCTGGCTATTTATTTGAGATATTTATTGGGTCTGTTGATTCTCAGACATTTCTCGTTACACTAGAAATACTGACATACTTCTTCCCTCACTTAATGTCCTTTCTGCTAAGTTAGGATTCCCCTGCATTTTTACAGACTTGGAACCCACACAGACTGGAATTCATCTTCTGATCCCAGGAAGCCAGGCTCTGGTGATTGAACACTTTTTGGAAGGGTTGGATAAGGGTAATAGGAGGGAGATTGGAGGGTCAAGAGAATATGGTTCCTACATAGACATGAGATGCAAGTTCTGATGTGGGGGAGTGGAGGACGGCTTCTGGAATGATTATTTAACTAATGATGCTGGCTATGCATTTGGCAAGGACAGGACTCAGAATCCTTAGCACTTGTGTCTGGTCAAATGAAGAACCAAATCTTAGACCTAGTACTGGTGGACATGGCTCCCAGCATATTAGGGAAGACTTCAGGCCGTAGGAAGAGGTAATTTCCTGGTTACCCTCCTTGTTTCCAACACCCACTCTCCCGAGTCTCTCCCGATAACCCGGATGGGATTCATTCTCTCCATCTGAGCCATCTGTGCTCAGAGAACAGAGCCCCACCCCCCACAATGGTTTTGCTTGTTGGGCATGCAGGGTTGAAAGGCCTTCAGAAGGTTAGATGTTTGGGGCTAACAGTGTGGAGGAGGGACAGCATAATGCTAAGTCAGACGTAGGCTTAAATCCCAACTTCACCTACTGCGTGAGCCTGAGCAAGTTGTGTAACCTCTTTGATCTTGGTTTCCTCATCTATAAAATGAAATTTATACTGTATCTCTCAATGGACCATAGTGAAGATTAAACAAAATAACATGTACAGCATTTAGTGTAGTTCCTGATGACAATTAGTTATAATAATGAGGCTGAAGACTTATCCGAGGCACAGTGAAACCTGGGGATGAACTTCAAAGTTAATGGCATAACCCAGCACAGCACGCACTTATAAAATGCAAGTGTGTATTGACCGATTGCCCTAAACAGTGGGCTCTTTGGAGCCTCCTAACCCCTAACTTTAAGAGGCCCCTGAATCTGAAATCACACTGCAACCTAAAAAACATGCCGGCCCAAAGGCAGAGATAGGACTACTGCAACCAGTGCTTAGAACAGCTGCTTACAGTGACTATGGAGCTCCAGGCGGCCTCGGGAGAATGGTGGAGATGCAATACTCTGAAAGCTGCGCTTCTCCATCTGTTTCCTCCTCCCCATCCCACCCTCCGGAGGGGTTTAGGCAGGTGGATCTGCCCTTACTGTATCTACCACCCTGCTTCCCCTGACATGTGACTGTCATCCCAGAAGCACTGTGTGGGGTACAAAGGGAGAAAGGAAAGCTCAGATTACCACATTGTGACGGACGTGTGGATTCTCTGCTACCCCAGCACAGATCATCCATGATTCGTGTCATTCCATGTCTCGGGCTTGCTGCTCTGGCAGAGGCTTCATCCCAACACTGAGTTCTGCTCAGAGGGTCTGACAGTGGCCGCTGTCCTGGAGGAGCGCTCCAGGTGCCTTTCTGAGGAGCACAGTGGCATCTAGTGGTCTCATGTGCTGAATCAATCTGTCAGCGTCCCTCTGACAGCCTTCCTTTAGTTCCAGAAACCCAATCTCAGTCCTAAGTGTATGCATCTGCTTCTCATTAAGAAGCAGGAGAATGAAGGAGCTCAAGGAAGGGGGAGAAGCAGGCGTGAGGAGAGAAGGAGGGAGAAATACAAAGAGACTGAAGACTTAACTGTCTGCAAACTGGCTTGGATTTCACTGAAATTGTATTTCTGCTGCTCTCTGTCAGACTTCTGTCACTGTCCTTTTGCTGTCCTACAGAAATCTCACGCAATGGTCCCAAATTATTAAAGTACATTAGAAGAGACCTTGAAAAGTCCAGCCCAGCTGGCGCGGCTCACTTGGTTGAGCATGTCCCATACAGGAGGTCACCGGTTCGATTCCCGATCAGGGCACATGCCCAGGTTGCAAGCTCCATCCCCAGTAAGGGGTGTAAAGAAGGCAGCCAATTGATGTTTCTCTCTGATCAATGTTTCTATCTCTTCCTCTCCCTGAAATCAATAAAAGCATTTTAAACAAGTCTCTTAGTCCAATCCCCTCACAAGTGGATAAAATAACAGTATCAAAATACTCCAGTATCCATTGATTTGTTCATTCAAGCATACATACTGAGTACTCACTCTGTTTCAGCTGAATGAGACATAAAAAGCCCCCCACCCTATAATACTTATTTGTTTCCCAAGATGTGTTCCATGGAATAATAACCCATTACATGCCCTTTGGAAAAAGTTTCTAGGGTCAAACAAGTTCAGATAACACTGCTTAGTGTATTTTCCTTTCAGAACATTCCATGAACAATAGTTTATTGAAGACTCGGAAGCCTTGCAGTAAATAAAATTGTTTAACTTATTTAGCCCAGTATTTTCAAAACATATTTATTTGATAGCTAAGGAATTAATCTTCGGTAAACACACTTTAGATCTTTTCATACACTTGTTTTGTGCTTTTTGCTATGTTTTAAGTACTTAGAAAATACTTTTTTAGCACAAAAAATAGAGAGTGCAACATGTCAAGTATGATAAGTGCTATGAAGAAAATAAAGCAGAGTTACAGGGAGTAAGGAGAGAAGATGTGTTCTTTAGATAGTGAGTTCCAGATGTTCTCTGATGCAGAGACAAATAAAGGAAGGAGTGAGCCAGGTAAGGAGCATTTTATGTGGTGGGGACAGTGAGTACAAAGGCCATTGAGACCTGAGATGGGCTATATTTCACGGATTTGAGTTAGTAAGGAAGCCATCATGCTGAAGTGCTGTGAGCAAGAAGGAAAGCAATAGAAAATGAGGTAGCCAGACCACAGTAAGAACTTTGACACATTCATCTTGAGGGTAAGGCTCTCTGTGTAGGACTGAAGACCTTCATTCCAGGTTCTTCTTACCCACTATTCAGAGTGCCACCTTGGCTCGGCTGGACTGGCTCAGTGGTTCAGCGTGATCCCATGAACCTGTAGGTCCCGTTTGATTCCCGGTCAGGACACAAGCTCAGGTGGCAGGTTTGATCCCAAGTAGGGTGCCTGCAGGAGGCAGCTGGCCAATGTTTTCCTCTCTCTCTAAAAACATAAAAACATTTTTTTTTTTAAAGAAAAGTTACATTCTTAAGGTTAGTCGTTAAAAATATAGTTTTCTTTTCCTTGAATTTCAGCACCAGTTTTGACTCAGAATATGGTCCTTCTAGACCAGGGGTGGGCAAACTTTTTGACTCGAGGGCCACAATGGGTTCTTAAACTGGACCGGAGGGCCGGAACAAAAGCATGGATGGAGTGTTTGTGTGAACTAATATAAATTCAAAGTAAACATCATTACATAAAAGGGTACGGTCTTTTTTTTTTTTTTTAGTTTTATTCATTTCAAAGGGGCCGGATCCGGCCCACGGGCCGTAGTTTGCCCACGGCTATTCTAGACTCTCGCCATATACTCTGGAGCAGTCTAGCCATTATGCATCATTACATATTCAATCAACCAAGACACCATATTTACTTACATGAGACCTAGAAATATAATAATAGCTCCATGAACTTTAATAGTGCGTAAGTGCCTATTCATGTAAAAGTGGAAACTCTTAAGCAAGAGCTCCTAGTGATTTTCCCTTCTTTAGAGAATCGTGAGTCACAGACATTGGAACCATGGAGACTGCTGTTTGATTTTTGAACCACTTACTCCTTCCTGTATGCCCTCCCGCCCCCAACATGCTGGGTAAAGTATATTCTAAGTTTATAATTAACGCTAATTATAAGGAATTTTGTTTTGAGGCAGCTTTCTAGGGTGTGCAGTGCCAGGATTGAGAGTCATCTCCCCTTCCCCAGTGAGGCTCTGAAAACCACCTGGAGGAGGAGCTCACAAAGGAGGTCTTACCTCCTGAGCATATGAGAGGCTGAGCTCGGACTTTGGGAGGTTGCCCATAGGTGATGGGCTTCATGATTAAGCTTCCCTCTCCTTCCCTGTCCCATCCGCTTTTTCTAACTCTAATTTCTCTCATTCAGCTGTGTGTTTAGCTTTCTCATCACAAACAAATAGTCTCCAGTACAATTGAGATTCCAGGAAGGTTGCCAGGGTGGAAGGCCTTCGATGCCATAAAAAGGAAAGATATTAACTAAAAACGTATACATGTATGCACAGTCTCCCTCACCCATTCACTTGCCTGGTCTCTAAGCATTTCCCCTTCTTCCCACAAATAGCCCCAAGAGACACAAAATTTCAGTGTCACTCACTCTTCCTCCTCTTCCTCTCTTCTTTCCTCCCCACCTCTCTCGTTTCTTGGCACACACCGTCATTTCCAGCACATGGCAAGTCACGTGAGTGTGCCGCCTATGCCCGAAGGCTACATGGCTTCTTCCGTGCTCCCCGTTCCTCCCCTTGCAAGCCTGGGTGATTGATTAGAAGCACACACGGGTTACAGTGTTGGGCAATTACTCCTAGTAGCGGCGCACACGGAGGCAGAGGGAGGCCAAATATGGCTTTTTTCACCCACCCTTCCAAAAACCAAACATCGTGCGCCAGAGTACATTTATAAGCTGCGTCCTGTGCCTGAACCCTAAGTGGTAACCGCTCAGTGGTGCTGACTGCTTTGTCTTCCTTCCTTCCAGCTCCTCGACCAGTGACCTCTCCAACTATGACCATGCTTATCTGAGGCGGAGCCCTGACCAGTGCAGCTCCCAGGGGAGCATGGAGAGCCTGGAGCCCAGTGGGGGATACCCCGCCTGCCACCTTCTTTCCCCTGCCAAGTCCACCAGCAGCATCGACCAGCTCGGCCACCTCCATAACAAGAGAGACTCGGCTTACAGCTCCTTCTCCACCAGCTCCAGCATCCTAGAGTACCCGCCCCCTGGCGTCCCGGGCCGGGAGCGGTCAGGCTCCATGGACACTTCTGCTCAAGGTGGCCTCCTGGACGGGATGAGGCAGGCAGACATTCGCTATGTCAAGACAGTCTATGACCCCCAGAGGGGCGTCTCTGCCGAGTACGAGGTGAACTCGTCAGCCCTGCTTCTTCCCGGGAGGGAGGCCCAAGCCTCAACAGACAGTCAGGGCTATGACAAAGGGCATCACGTTCCTCGGAGCCGGAGAGGGCCGCCCCCCTCCTGGAGCCAGCAGGGTCCCAGTTCCTTGGAGACCGCCATTGACAACCTGCCTCCGAAAGTGGGCGCACCGCTGCCCCCCGCTCGGAGTGACAGTTACGCAGCCTTTCGGCACAGAGAGCGGCCCAGCTCTTGGTCTAGCCTTGACCAGAAACGGTTCTGCCGGCCTCAGGCAAACTCTGCGGGCGCCCTGAAAGCTCCCTTCGTGGAGGAACAGCTGCATACTGTGCTGGAGAAGAGTCCAGAGAGCAGCCCCCCGGTGAAGTCCAAGCATCAGTATCCCCAGAAGGCCCAGCCTGGCCAGCCTCTGCTGCCGACTGGCATCTACCCGGTACCATCCCTGGAGCCGCACTTTGCCCAGGTGCCTCAGCCCTCCGCGAGTAGCAACGGCACGCTCTACCCTGCCCTGGCCAAGGAGAGTGGCTATACGACTCCTCCGGGAGCCGGTGACAAGACAGCTACCCTTGATGAGAATGGAAACCAGAATGGATCTAGCAGAGCTGCGTTTGCCTTCTGTCAACCCCGAGAGCATGAATCTCTGTCCCTAGTAGAGAGAACACCTGAAACTCCGGTCAGATGTGCCCCCCTCAAAGTGCATTTCCCTTCGGTGCCTGAAAATGTGAAGGACACCTCCCCGAAGAAGCGCCTCGCACCTCTCCAGGGCAGCAGCCCACATCCCAGCGGGAGAAGGAGCCCCCACAGCAGCAAACCGGCTCCCACCTGCCACCGCATCCAGCCCCCTCAGGCTCAGGCCTGGCAGGTGGGCGACGGCAAGAGACCCTCCAGGCCCACCGAGCTTTGGGAGGGTGGTTCCCAAGAAGACCACAATGCCAACCTCCAGCAGGGGCTGGAGCGAGAAGGCCCAAGCCAGAGCCCGTCTAGCAACTTTGGCAAGACCAAGTCGGCCTTCTCCTCTCTTCAGAACATTCCCGAGAGTCTAAGAAGGCAGAGCAGCCAGGAGGTAGGAGGCAGCCCCAAGGCAGAGGGCCCTGGACGGAAAGTGGTTCCCGATCACAGGAGCCATCTGGACAGGCCGGTTCCCTGCCCAGGGCCTGAGGGCAAAGCCAGTGCAGTGACCTCTTTCCCCCTTTCGGACGCAAGGCTGGAGGAGCCGCCCTCCCCGCCACACCCGCAGACGTCCAGCCTGGGCCGGAGGCGGCTCAGCTCCAGCAGCACCTCGGCCCTGCCCGGCTTCCAGTACGGGCAGCCCCACTGCTCGGTGCTGGAGAAGGTCTCCAAGATCGAGCAGCGCGAGCAAGGGCGCCAGCGGCCCCCGAGTGTGGGCAGCTCCGTGAATGGCTGCACCTACCGGCCCAGCAGGATGGCCCCGACTTCCAGGAACGACTTCCAGGAGACAAACGCCAATATCCGCCTTTCCGAGCCCACGGAACCCCTAGGCAACGGGGAGCACCCCTTCAAAAACGGGGACCCGAAGCTGGAAGAAGTTTCCTGGCAGCCATGTGGTCAGCAGGTGAAGAGGGGTGCCGACGGCAGCCGGGGCGCCCCGCTCCGAGGCAGCGAGCCCCCGAGGCGGGACACCCAGCTGCTCCGCAGCCAGAGCACCTTCCAGCTCTTCAGCGAGGCCGAGGAGGAGGCCCGGTGGCGGGACCCCAGGCCGGGCACCCCCGAGTCGCCGGTGCTGGACGCCCCCTTCAGCCGCGCCTACAGGAACAGCATCAAGGACGCACAGACGCGCGTGCTGGGGGCCACCTCCTTCCGCCGCCGGGACCTGGAGCCCGGGACGGCGGGGGCTTCCCGGCCCTGGCGCCCGCGACCAGCCTCGGCCCACGTGGGGCTGCGGAGTCCAGAGGCCCCGGTATCCGCCTCCCCACACACCCCACGGGAGCGGCACAGCGTGACCCCCGCCACGGGCGACCGGCCGGCGCCCCCTGTGGCCCGGAGAGGGCCCCGCCGGCGCCTGGACCCCGAGCAGAAGAAGCGCTCCTACTCGGAGCCCGAGAAGATGAACGAGGTGGGGGTCTCGGAGGAGGCCGAGCCCGCACCCCTGGGCCCGCAGAGGGCGGCGCTGCGTTTCCCGGAGAGCACGGTGGCCGACCGGCGCCGCATCTTCGAGCGGGACGGCAAGGCCTGCTCCACGCTCAGCCTGTCGGGGCCGGAGCTGAAGCAGTTCCAGCAGAGCGCCCTGGCCGACTACGTGCAGCGCAAGACGGGCAAGCGGCCGGGCCCCGCCGCGGGCGGCGGCCTCCCGGAGCCGGGGCTGCAGGAGCGCGCGCCCGGCACCTACCTGCAGCCCGGCCTCACCGCGGCTGCCAGCCTCTGTTCCCTGCGGGAGCCCAGCCTGCAGCCCCGCAGGGAGGCCGCGCTCCTGCTGGAGCCCCCGCGTGGGGCCCGAGATCGCAGCAGCTCCTTCGCGGGCGGCCGCCTCCTGGGAGAAAGGCGACGCGGGGACCCAGCCCAGAGGGAGCTGCTGGGTGGAGCTAACGGCGGCGGCGGGCCAAACGGCAACCAGAAGATGGACAGGACCCCTGGGGAGCCCTCCTCCTGGGGGGCCGCGGCCGGGAGGGCCGGGAAGTCCATGTCCGCCGAGGACCTGCTGGAGCGCTCGGATTTCCTGGCGGTCCCTGTCCACGTGAGGTCACGGTCATCTCCCACCACCCACCAGAAGCTCCAGGTAGGTGCCGCCAGCAGACCCTGGGCACGTCCTTTGGGCCCTGGAAGCTGCATTGCTTCTCCTCTACTCCCTCCTTCCCCCGTCAATGCTCCTTTTACATGCAGAAGAGTAGCCTTTCTTTTCAAGAGGTCATTTCTTTCTCAGTGCCCCATCTGATAGCCTTACAGAGACAGATAAATGTGGATATTCATGTCGTTGTATAGATTTCTTAAATAGATACATAAATCTTACGTAGATATCTTTATGTTTGCGTGTGTATATGTGTATGTATGTGTATATATATATAGAATACATATTATATGTAATTACTTCATTTTAGGAGGTCACTCACCTCTCAGTGCAAGAGTGTGTGGTTAGGAAAAGTTAGGGATTATCTTTTTTGTCTTTTTTTTAATTCAAGGAATAGAGGCTGTCTCAGGTTTTAAATATTTTAGCTTTGCACCCTCTTATGTTTCTGTTGGACTTCTGCATTTGCAAAATAGAATTATTGACTTTAAAAGGCTATTGAATCCCAGGCCCTCAGATGAGTATGCTTTACATTTATCTCATTAATCCTCACAATAGTCCTGTGCAGTAGAGTATATTATCCGTATCAAACCCCTGCTTCTCGGACTCACATCTGAACTCGCTCTGTGCACTGTCCTGGTGAGAAAGGAGAATGAATCCCAGACATTTCAATTCTCAGATAAAAGGGTTTTCTAATAAAGGCTCTAAACTATGCAAAGATTGTGAAGTGCTTTCCAGGGGAAATTGCAGGCAGAGCTATAAATAGACCTGAGCACTCTTACTCCCAGGCGTCTATGAATTTCCCTAATTCTTAACCCCTCCTCAAGCTCCACATTCCACTGCCTATCAATGGCCTCTCTCATGGCTCCCTTTCTACCTAAGGAGATAGGAATTCACATATATGGTAGCACAGAGGAGACCATCCCTCCATTCCCCCTCTCAAATTCTGTTTTTCCTGGCAGAAAAGTCAAGGATTGGGGGTTGTGTGTGGGAGGCAGTATTTGGAGGAAACAACTTCAGACAAAGAAAGATTCAGTCATTACTGCCGAAGAAGTATGTTTACAGCACTGCTTCTGAAACGCACATACACACAGCCTTCTGAGCAAAAATACTGTGCCCTCCCAGGTATTTCCTGTTCAGGAATATTCAGAAATACTTTCTCTCCAGTATAAACTCAAGCACACACAAATCTATAGAGGCAATCCTCTATAACAGTGGTTCTCAACCTTCCTAATGCGGCGGCCCTTCAATACAGTTCCTCATGTTGTGGTGACCCCCAATTTCATTGTTACAAATTGAACATAATTAAAGCATAGTGACTAATCACAAAAACAATATGTAATTATATGTGTTTTCCGATGGTCTTAGGCAACCCCTGTGAAAGTGTTGTTCGACCCCCAAAGGGGTCGCGACCCACAGGTTGAGAACCGCTGCTCTATAAGACTTCGCTAGCCATTTTCCTCCCCTTCAGAATGAACTAAGCTAATTTCCACTCCTCATCCTACCACTAAAACACTTTTTAAAATTTATTTATTTTTATTGATATGAGAGAAACTTTGGTTTGTTGTTCCACTTATTTATGCATTCATTAGTTGTTTCTTGTTAGGTGCCCTGACTGGGGATCAAACCTGCCACCTTGGCTATTGGGACAATGCTCTAACCCAGTGGTCGGCAAACTCATTAGTCAACAGAGCCAAATATCACCAGTACAACGATTGAAATTTCTTTTGAGAGCCAAATTTTTAAAATTTAAACTATATAGGTAGGTACCTTGTTATTAACTTAATTAGGGTACTCCTAAGGCTTAGGAAGAGCCACACTCAAGGGGCCAAAGAGCCGCATGTGGCTCGTGAGCCACAGTTTGCCAACCACTGCTCTAACCGACTGAGCTATCTAGCCAGGGCACTAAAGCACTTTTAAATCCTTATATGTAACATGCAGTTGCAGCTAGTTTGATGGGCTTCAGTCATTCAGTGCATAGCTACAGAACAAACATTTTCTTCATTTTGCTCCACATGTTTTAAAGAAAACAGAATGTTCAGGCAAAAACTGGATCCTCTTCTGGTTTGTTTTGTTTTGGTTTTTTTAGCCACCACTAGATGTCACCATCCTCTCTTGGAGAAGCAGTTAGATACGAATGTTATTTTGCCTTCCCTCCACAAATATTTCTCAAACCTGGTAAAGTGGGAAATAGAGCTAAAACATAGGTGCTATAGATTCCTCCAAACCCAGTTACATACTTTATATTATTTGAAAGGCTTTCTAGAAAGACAACTAAATACAGAACGTTATTTAGGCACCCTGTTCAATAGAGTACCATATTTAGATAGTATTTAATTTGGGGACTATGACACCAGAGGAGGAAAGTGTTTCAGAATTAAATATTTTATCTGTGCTGTTTTGCTCCTACAAATTCTGCAAATAGGTTACCATCCCCCAGATTGTAATTGTGCCAAGACTGTTCTTGAGGTTCCTTCTTCCATCAGCCAGATCTTGCCTGCCCTGGGACCTGGTCATGGCAGTATCTGATCCATTTTCTTCATACCTTATTTGTAGAGCTAGTTAAAAACAAAGCAGAAGTAGTCTCACCACATAATTATTGTGGTTATTTCAAAATGTTACATTCTTTTATTTTAAAAAACCCAGGAACTTTATCATTAAGAATTGGTGGGGACTTAAGAATTTTTCTGATCTCAGCTTCAGAGAACTCCATGAAATTAAGTGACCCAGAGCAAGCATGTCAAACTCGCGGCTGGCAGGCCACATGCCTCATTTAAATAACAACATGCTTGCTGTAGAGACCACCCGAGTTAAACCCAAAATATGGAGTCTCTTCTGGTGCTGGCTCAGTCTTCGGCATCCTGAACAAATGTTACTTGTTCCGTCCTGCCAGCCAGATGCTAATAGAGCAGGATTTTACAAGCTTTGGACAAGGATTCAGCTCCTTTTCAAAAGTTTATAAGGACAGTTTCTGCCTCCAAAATAAGGTCAACATGGAAATAAATTCCTCTGCTTAGGAAATTGATTATTCCTTGGCCTGAAATAATGACTGCAGAAGGCTGCCACCCCCTGGAACCAGAGACCTACTCAGATCCTCAGCAGGCTTGGCCTCTTCTCAGCCAGCTGTGGTCCACTCTGAACACGCAGCCTCCCATTACTTCTCCTTTCATTCCTGGTCATTCCAAAGGTGTAATTGCTGAACAAGTGGATATTAGTGATGGAACTGACGGGCACAACAAATTCTTGCCTATTTCCTACTTTTTAGAGACTTTGTAAAACAACCTTTCTTAAGTAGCTGGGCCCTACAGAAAAATATTCAAACATTTCAGCCTCTGAGACAGAAATTTATACCTCTTCACGGCATAGATCTAAAATGCAGAAGAAGCTATAAAAATAAACCTGCGAAGAAGTAAGATTCCTAGTGAGGCATTTTTTTTCCAGATGCTGAGTTAGAGGCTGCTCTGGTTTTCAGTGTATTTTCAGAGACCTTTGTTTCTGATATGTAACACATTCACCATGTGATGGCGTGCCAGACATTTCATTGCTGAGGAAATGGCTCGATGCATGGATTCTGGAGAGTGCAGCTTGTAAATCATGGTTAGCACCTCTCAACAAGCACCATTCCAGCTTGTGGATAAATAACAGAATCAACTTTCCACAAAATGTAAAATTACAAATAGCTACTAATAACCAAATGTGCACTATGTGCCAGTCATTGTACTACGTGTTCTTGTAAGTATGAAATGAATTCTGACATCTATGCAAAGAGGTAGATAGAGTCGCTATCCCTATATTACAGATAAGGGCACTGAGGCACAGAAAGGGTAAGAAATTTGCCCAAGGTAGTGGGAGCAAGGTTTTGACCCCATACTCTCTTCAAGTCATTATAGCATGCTGCCTCCTTAAATAAAAAAAGGTTGGGGAGCAGCGAAGGAGGTGAGAGTTAAACATCTTATATGTAAAACTTCAGCTAATAAATCTATTTCATTTTAAAGTGTATTCATTACTGTTATTTACCTTTTTAATACCACTTTAAGATTTTTCAAATGGATTTCTAATTCATTTTAGCAGATACTGGACACTGATATTCCAAAGTAGATGAATATTGTTGATTTCATATTTCATTGGTCACAGAGAAATTAGGATTTCTAACTCAACCCAAAGCAAGAGTGAGGATTTGCATTCAACAGGCTTTAGGTCTATAGTTTTAAGTATGCTATGCCTAATAAAGAATAAAAAAACCAGTAAGTCAGTCATCAGAAATCAGGAATAATTAAAAAACAAACATAAGTATTTCTTCCATAGTCCCTGCTTTTCTCTAAATTCCTCTATATGTACTGTACACTTCTTACCGGTTTGTAGCAAATCAAGTCTTCTTTAACAGTGAACATACGCCTAATCAAAACAAGTAAATACAACAAAAATTTATCCTCCTCTGGCTTGGGAAGGCATTTTCCTTCTGTCCAAATGGTTTTGTTTTCTTATTCCCCACCCAAGGACGTTTGTTGTTGTTGTTTTAATATATATATATGTGTGTATATATATATATATTTTTTTTTAATTTATTTATTTATTTATTTCAGAGGGGAAGGGAAAAGAAGAGAGAGATAGAAACATCAGTGATGAGAATCATTGATAGCCTGCTTCCAGCATGCCCTCCACTGGGGGTCCAGCCTGCAACCTGGGCATGTGCCTTGACCAGGAATTGAACCATGACCTCCTGGTTCATAGGTTGACGCTCAACCACTGAGCCACGCCAGTTGGCCGAGGATATGTTTTTATTGCTCTCTAGAGAGAGGAAGAGAGAGAGAGAGACAGACAGACGGGTTGCACCCTCCTCTATGCACCCAACCAGGGATCAACCTGGAACCTTTTTGGTGTGCATGACGATGCTCCAACCAAGTTTTGTTGACAGGAGATTTAGAGAGTTCTCTCAACAGCCTATTCCTGAGTCTAACTTCCTTTATTTTACCCACACTAACATAAATATCAACTTAAGTTCATACTGTAATTCAAAGGAAATGACAGAATGGGAAACTATATTTAAAAGTTATACTGGGTTAGGAGCTTAAAGAGGACCTAGAGGCTTCCCCAATTAATTATTGGCAAAGCTTCACATTCATGTCAGCAGAGAAGGTGCAACAGGGAAGGACTTTAAAAGGGCCACAAGGTTTCCTGGAGAGCAGGAATTCCCATTCCCTAAAGTGGTCATTGAGCAAATCAGAGACATGTGGAATTCCTTTCTCTCGAAGCACTGATGTCTGATTGCACCCACCTCAGCTGCCACTCAGCTTGCTAAAATTACCAAGAAAGGCCCTGTGTTTCGAAGCGATCATGGTTTGAATCCTGGCTCCTCTACCTACTTAACTGTGTGGGTGGGTAAACTACTTAACCTTTCTGAGCTGCAATTACCTCTCCTCTCCCCATTGTTCTAGATTAAATTACAGAAGAAATGTCATGTACCTAACTCAACTCTAGGCTCCTAATTTGAGGACTGTAAGGAATTGAGCAGTGTCCAGCACGAAGTAAATGCCCAATAAGTGTTAGCTGCAGTTACCAATAATCTTCGAGTGTTGGTTTCTTCTTTGTGCCTACTGCCTTTGGCTCTTTTATTGCTCATTAGTACCTGCACCACTGCCTGGGGATGGGGAGCGGGGGAGAAAATTGGGGTAGAAAGCAATGAGCTCTGTGGAAAGCATTAAGCTCTTTGGACAGATTAAGTGATGAAATAATTGCTGAAATTAAATGTAGAGACAATGTATGGATTTCATTTCTTGTTTTCTACCTAGTAGCATAAATAATTGAGAGCTAAATGTTTTATCATCAATGGCAACATTGTCTTCATCAGGGACTTATTCACCTGGGCAAAACTTTATCAAAAACTGACCTAGGATCCTTTCAGGAAACCAATAATACCCTTATTAAAAACAAAAAGAAACAAGTAATGACTACCTGAAAAGGCCCAAAGACATTGATATTACATGTGGGTAAAACATTTTCAAACCCAGAGAGAACATATTTCAGCTTGATTACACGTCAGATTCATATCTTCTGGAATTATAAGTCAGAACGGGAGGTTTTTGCTAAATGTCATGCACTATCCTGGCATCTCCCGTTATTTCCTATTGCTGTTTCAGAAAGTTGGCCCTTTGAATTAATTTTTGTCATTTCAAGGGTAGCAGTTGTTTTGAACCCTAGAGATAATTATCAGCCTTCTCTTGCTTAGAAAGTGCCCTTGTGAGGAGAAGCACTTGGTGAGACAGACTGAGGTTGAAATCCTAGCTCTGCCACTGAGACCTTGGGGAAGTTAACCTCTTTGGGCCCGCTTCCTCATCGGCGCGGTGGGATTCACAGTCCTTCCCGGGGCTTTGAGGAGAAACGGCGGTATGGGAGAGTGCCACCATGGTGCCTGACAACAGATAGCAGGCCTCCAGTGACTATTCTTGCTCCTTCCTGCCTCCACCCCCTCAAATAAATTTGTTGGTAATAATGCTGTGCCTTTCTTGTGTTTCAGGATGTGCTTTTGGGGGGAAACAATGGCTCTGGTCTTGTGAAGGATCCATGTTACTTGGCTGGCCCTGGACCCAGGTATGTGTGATGCCCTCTGCCTTATGAATGCTGCTAGAGTTCAACGTTTCTATGCCTCTGAATAAGAAATTGAAATGTGATATTGCGATGTTTCATTGTGTCCTGTGCTGCCTTCTCCATTTGTCTAGGCTGTGGGGAACTTTTTTATTTGTAGATGACTTTCTCTAAAAATGACACTTTTTAGAGAAAAAATGACACATGGGGCCTCTCTCATGTGGCTGATCTCTTCCAGTTCTGTGTGCAAAGGGCCGGCCTGGTGACTAAAGTGCTCAGAGAGGATCGAGCATTTCACGAATGGCTTCACATAGGGAGGCAAACTCACAGGAAGCACCTGAAGTAAAAAATAACGCTCCTTGCCGAAACCAGTTTGGCTCAGTGGATAGAGCGTCGGCCTGCGGACTGAAGGGTCCCGGGTTCGATTCCGGTCAGGGGCATGTACCTGGGTTGCGGGCGCATCCCCAGTGGGGAGTGTGCAGGAGGCAGCTGATCGATGTTTCTCTCCCATCGATGTTTCTAACTCTCTATCTCTCTCCCTTCCTCTCTGTAAAAAATCAATAAAATATATTTAAAAAAATAAAAATAAAAAAAAAATAACGCTCCTAAATCATAATGTTTCAGCACTAAAGGTTCCTATGTAATAAAAGCCTAATATTCTAATTGTTCCCTTGACCGGGAGTTCGACCAGGGGGTGAGGCCGGCCAGCCAACCACCTGCGGCCCCTCTCCCCAGCTGGTCCCACCAGGGGAAGGGAGGCCCCGGCCAGCAGCCAGCAGCCACTAGGGACCCATACCTGTGCACAAATTTCATGCACTGGGACTCTAGTATAATATAACAGAAAAAGTCATTTTAAAAATTTATCATCAGCCCTAGCTGGTTGGGCTCAGTGGATAAAGTGTTGGCCTGTGGACTGAAGGGTCATGGGTTCGATTCCAGTCAAGGGCACATGCCTGGATTGCAGGCTCGACTCCCACTAAGGGATGTGTGGGAGGCAGCCGATTGATGGTTCTCTCTCATCATTGATGTTTCTATTTCTATCCCTCTCGCTTCCTCTCTGAAATCAATAAACAAATTAAAAATTAAATTTAAAAAATGTTTATCATCAAAATCATTTTTCCCAGGTAGAAAAATATAATGGGCAGTTATTTAGAATTTGAATTTTTTAACTAGTCACATGGAGCTAAATAAGTAGAAAATTCCAAAGAGAGTTTCCCCTGAACCATATGCCTGTGTATATGTAGTTTTAGTGCGGCATCATAGAGCTAGCTACCATAACCTACTTACTAATGATGGTGCATTTAAACCCTCCCTACTACCTGCCATGTTTTTCAAGCCAGTACCCTAATTTTTATTATAATTCACGCAGTCATTGTTTCCCTCTTTTTCTTTATTCACCTTCTCATAAGTCACCCTAAAACTGTCACTTAGGAGCAGCCAATGTGGTCAGGATGTGATGTTAAGTTTCCACCTCCAATGCCAAGAGCAGCCTTCCACAGTTCTGTGCTCTTGCTCCTGTGGCTGGGCCTAAAATGAATAAGTATTCCAGGTGAGGCCAAGGACTTTGGTTAGTTTGGGTGCATTAATTAAATGCTAGAGACAAAGGAAAACTCAGTGAACTAGAGCACTGCCAAAAGAGAACTGGCTGAAGTCAAAGGTGAGACTAAAGTCAACCATTAAAAAATTAAATAGCTGCCCTACCTGGTTTAGTCAGGGTGGATAGAGCGTCAGCCTGCGGACTGAAGGGTCCCAGTTTCGATTCCAGTTAAGGGCACATGCCCGGGTTGCGGGCTCAATCCCCAGTGCGGGGAGTGTAGGAGGCAGCCAATCAATGATTCTCTCTCATCATTGATGTTTCTTTCTCTCTCTCCCTCATTCTCTCTCTGAAATCAATAAAAATATTTTAAAAAATAAAAAATCAAATAGCTCATTCATAAACAAGGCTTGAATAACCTGGCCTGTGTGGCTCAGCGGTTGAGCTTTGACCCATGAACCAGGAGGTCACGGTTCGATTCCTGGTAGGGCACATGCACAGATTGCAGGCTTGATCCCTAGTGTGGGGCGTGCAGAAGGCAGCTGATCAGTGATTCTCCTTCATTGTTGATGTTTCTATCTCTCTCTTCCTCTCCCTTCCTCACTCTGAAATGAATAAAAAACATATTTTAAAAAGCTTTTGAAAAATAAAAATAAAAAGGACTGGAATAGACATTTCTCCAAAGACAATAGTCAGGTGAGTCAAAGACTAGAGGCTTGGCGCACGAAATTTGTGCACGGGGGTGTTTGTCCCTCAGCCCAGCCTGCACCCTCTCCAATCAGAGAACCCCTTGAGGTATGTCCAACTGCAGTCGGACATCCCTCTCACAATCCAGGACTGCTGGCTCCCAACTGCTCGCCTGCCTGCCTGCCTGATTGCCCCTAACTGCTTCTGCCTGCCAGCCTGATCACCCCCTAACCACTCCCCTGCCAGCCTGATCAACACGTAACTGCTCCCCTGCCGGCCCGATTGCCCCTAACTGCCCTCCCCTGCAGGCCTGGTAGCCCCTAACTGTCCTCCCCTGCGGGCCTGGTTGCCCCCAACTGCCCTCCCCTGCTGACCCAGTCACCCCTAACTGCTCTCCCTTGCCAGCCTGGTCGCCCCCAACTGTCCTTCCCTGCAGGCCTGGTCGCCCCCAACTGCCCTCCCCTGCAGGCCCAGTCACCCCTAACTTCCTTCCCTTGCCAGCCTGGTCATCCCTAACTGCCCTCCCCTGCCGGCCTGGTCACCCCTAACTGTCCTTCCCTGCAGTCCTGGTTGCCCCCAACTGCCCTCCCCTGCAGGCCTGGTCACCCCTAACTGCCCTCCCCTGCAGGCCTGGTCCCCCCCAACTGCTCTCCCTTTCAGGCCTGGTCCTTCCCAACTGCCCTCCCCTGCAGGCCTGATTGCCCACAACTGCCCTCCCCTGCAGGCCATCTTGTGTCCACATGGGGGCAGCCATCTTATGTGTTGGAGTGATGGTCAATTTGCATATTCTTTATTATATAGGCTATTCTACATCACTAATAGAGAAATACAAATCAAAACCCCATTGAGATACCATCTCAACCCATTAGGATTATTAAGATAACTATTATTGAAAAAAAAAAGTGTTGGTGAGGATGTGGAGAAATTGGAACTGCAAAATGCTGCAACTGCTATGAAAAACAATATGAAGACTCCTCAAAAAAATTAAAAATAGATCTACCATATGACCCAGCAATCCGACTTCTTAGTATTTATCCAAAAGAGTTGAAAGCAGTGTTTTGAAGAGATATTTTCATACCTATGATTACAGCAGCATTATTCACAATAGCAAACAATCCAAATGCCCATCAGTAGAACAGCTAAACTAAATGTTCATACAGTGGGATATTATTCAGTTTTAAAAAGGAAGGACATGCTATGACATGGATGAACGTTGAGGATATCATGCTAAATGAAATAAGCGTGTCACAAAAAGACATGCGCGATGATTCCACTTACGTGAGGTATCTAAAGGAGTCAAACTTATAGAAACAGAAAGTAGAAAGGTGGTTGATGGGGCTGGAGGAGTGGGGACGAGGAGCTGTTGCATATAAGGTACTGAGTTTCAGAGCTGCAAGATGAAGTTCTGGAGATCTGTTTTGCAATGACGTGAATGGTTCAAGTAGTAACATTTATGTTACGTGTTTTTCACCTCATAAAAAGAATGCTATGAAGGAGGGAGAAATGAGGCTAATTGTTCTCAAACTCCGTTCTTGGATATTAGGATTCCTGGATACAGATCAACAGATGCTTGCCTCGCACAGTCTATTATCAAAGAGACTCAAATGAAATCTCTCTTATCCTATCTTTTGTTCTTGAAAAAATACAAAACAGTCACCAAGAAGAGGCATTATCCACCAAATTAAGCAAGCATTTAACTCAAATAATACCTTCGAAGATTAAACAAACTAAAACCATTATACCCAGGTTTCCTGGGCTGGGTCTTAAAGGATAGGGGCTATCCTCTTTCCTTGTATGTTTTAGTGGTGTCTTCCCTGAAAAGCCTCCAGATACAGAGGAAGGAAGATGAAGGTACCCGAATTAGTCATAGAGCATCAGATTCCAGTGGACGCCATGTCCTATTGGAGGATGCTAAGTTTAAAAATAGTTTATATTGTACAGTTTAAAGAGCAGTTGGGTAGAAGAGACATTGTTCATCAGACATTTACTAACAAGATACTGTGTGCCAGGATGCCAACATGAATGAGACAGGCAGTGCAGAGCACGCCTAGTGAGCCTCCTGCCTCTGGGCTTCTCGTATACCCATTTGAGTACCCGGCAAGTACCGAGCAGCCCTGATAGTGAGAGCGTCCTGGTAAAAACCAACAAATAAAACCACTTCTAAATGAAAAGGATCTGTGATGGAAAGGAAGAGGTTGCATCTGAGAAAGAGAGAGGAGGAGGGAGGGAGAGAGAGATGGGCCCCTCATTCAACTATCTGCATTTATAAAAAAGAAAAATCAGGGCACAAGAGGGGCTAATTTGGTCTTTGCGGTCTTTTCCTTCAGTATGCTGCATTCCTCCTGCCACAAGCACTCAGACAATTTCGTGGCAGGCCTGTGCCGGCCTCTGACTGAGGGCTGAGCCGTGCTCCCTCAGGACTCAGGTCTGCACCATGAAAAGGGCCATCTGCTCTCCAGATTCACTGGCATGCTAGTCAGGAACTTACATGATGGTTTGCTGGAGATACCTTTTCTCCTCACATCATGGCCGGCAGCGGGCAATGCTGCACACTGCTGTTTTCTTTGTTTTTTTCTCTTTTTTGTCCTGTAGAACACAATAACAAAGCTATTGGAAGGCGCTGGGGTTTCCTTGGAGCCTGGCTAGGGGATATTTGTTTAAATCACCATGCACCCTGTCTGTCCAATTCTGTCAGTCTTTCTCCCAAGGTAACTGCTTATTATAAGCTCCTTTGGTGAGAACCCCTCCCCTTCCTTTTACATTCCATTTTAAGAAATGAAAACACTAAGAGACTAAGAGACAGTTGTAAATAAAACCTTCAAATTCAGCAGCCCCCGCAGATGCTTTCCGAACAGACCTCCCCCACGGGAAGGCAGTGGGAGAGAATGAGGCAGCATTCTCGTCCCCTGAGGCAGGGGCTGGCTCCAGAGTAGGCCTCAAAGCAACTGAAGAGATGTACCCACTTGTTTCTTTCCTTTTATAACCTGAAACCTGTCCTCAAACCACCTTTTGTGGGTGGTGAGGGTGGGAGGTGGGGGCAGTGAGAGAAGGCGAATTCAAGCAAATGCCATGTGACATTTCCCTGTAGGAGGTCATGCCTGTCTGGCATTGTATTTAAACTCAGTTCTTTGCATGAGCAGCTGGTGGGGGAGGGAGAGAGCATGCAGCTTTCCTGTCAGTGCTTTCCCCGTCTGTGCAGTGAACCTGGGCTCAGTGTTTGCTCCTTCAGAGCCGTCATGCTTGTGCTTGTGTCCTGCTCCAGGTCACTCGGTTGTCCAGAAAGAGGCGAAGAAGAGATGCTAGTGCTCAAACACCAGCCCAGCCCTCGATGGGGTGGTTCAGACTGCAAAGCCGTTGGCGCCTCCATTCCCAGCGACTGTCCAAGACAGCTGGACCATCAGAGGCAGGCCAGCAGGATGCCCTGCCCCAGGCCACTACCCACAGGGCTGCAAGGGCATCTCACAGACACCAGGGCAGGACCACTGACCCCACTCAGCTCCGCTCTGCCTTCCCCTGCCCCCTCCAGCTACTGTCCACCAGCTGCCGGTGATCAGCCGACTGGGAGGGACGGTCAGACGGGCCAGCAGCCTCTTCCGCCCTACACCCCAGCAGTGACTCACAGAAGCAACGGCCACAGCCTGGCCCAGCCTCCCCGTCCTAGAGGCCATGAGCCCCACAGCCCGGAGCGCGGGGCAGAAGAGGGGAAGAGGAAGCAGCCTCCCCCACCTCGTGTGAAGTGGGCCCACACTGTCCGAGAGAACAGCCTCCCCGAGGAACCTTGCTCGCCCGAGTCAGCAAGCCTGAAGCACTACAAAAAGCAGCAGAACCTCCCAAGTTCAAGCAGCACTTCTGACCCAGACACGCCTCTTGGGGTCCCGAGCACTCCGGGGAGGATCTCCCTCCGAATATCGGAGTCCGTCCTGCAGGCCTCCCCACTGCCTCGGGAGGACTACGAGGATGAAGTGTTTGTGAAGGACTTGCACCCCAATGCCACTTCCCACCCCACATTCGAAGCTCTCCCCCTACCCCCACCCCCACCCCCACCCCCAAGCCAGGAAATCCTGGTGAATAGCTGGGAAGACTTTCCTCCCCCTCCTCCCCAAGCTCTGTGTGAGGCACAGCTGGACAGTGAGGATGGCATGGAGCCCCCTGTGAGGTGAGTGGGCAGACTGGGTAGGGCAGGCCCTTAGCTAAGAAGGAGAGGGTTTCCCTCACTAGTAAGAGGTTTTCGCACTCCAGGCTTCCTAGACCCTCCTGCTTTTGGCCACAGGAGAGCCCTGGTGTGGAGGGTTTTTATAGAAGCTCAGTCCCTGAAGCTGGCAGGTTGATTCTCTTGTTTACCTTGGGGGGTGGTTATACGAGCAGTCATTGGGCAGCAAGGAGTGAGAGCAGTGAAAACGAAAGCCCTCACCCAGGAGGCATAATTCGCTTCTATGGGTCGACATCAGTAGCATCCCTCCTTCCTGCCCACATTCTGAGTCAGTTAAGGAATGAGAGGTAAGAGGAAGGCATACAGCAGACAAAAATATCACTTGCATTACTGAGAGAGCTGATATGGAGAAATGGCTTCCATCCTGACACTGAGCCCCCAGATTAAATAGGTTTATCTGCCTATTCACAGGCCGTGCCAGCCATCCACACATACACATGTGTGTCTATTTTATATATAGGGTGCCCAAACAAATGTATATACACATTTTGAATAATTATAAAGCAGTATTTATTAAAATACATTTCATTTTCAAAAGTGAGCTATCAGCTGTTAAAGTATGTATACATTTTGGGGGGACACCCTGAATAGATGGAGGGAGAGTAAGAGAGAACGCAGGAGCACGCCCAGAGGCAGCCTTGCTCTTAAAAAGAAGAGCTGGACTATGAATGGTCCAGCTATGGTTAGCATTTCTTTCCAAAGACACTAGGAAGGAATCGAGTGTAGGGCTGAAGGTCAGTGACGCTTAGGAAAACCTGCTCTTGGAAGCCAGAAGAATGAGGAAGAAGCATTTCCCAACACACACTCCTTAGGACAAGTGATCTTTCACAACACGGAATAAAACACCCACCCACCACATTGCCTGCTATCACTCTCCATACCAGAGTGATTTACCACTTCCCTCTGTCCACCTGGGCCCTTCAGAAAGTTCTGGAATATGAATTCCTACTCGATTCACCCCCGTTAAAAAGTCACACGACCTCCCCATGAGCAATCAGTTGAAGTTCCTTAGGATGCTCGGAAATGTGACCGCCTCGCCCCACTCCCACCAGCCCAGTGGTGACAGCTCTTTCACCCTCATCCTCACCTTCCTATTAACTGTTTCTCACCACCTCTCTCTCTTTTCCTTTTAATATCCAGTAGCTCCAGCAAACCTGCCAACAGGACAGTTGCCAAGGAAGGGCCCGTGCCTGGGGCAGCCCAGCCGGTTGGCCATCAGATACCAGCTTCCAGACCCCAAACTTCCATCAGAGGTTCCGAGGACCACGGGACCAGCCCGCCACCCACCGCAGGCGCCCGGCCCCAGCATGCTGGGCCCCTCAGCTGGCAGCCAGGCCCAGGAAAGCAGCCTCCCACTCTGACCCAAGGCCTCGTCCACGACCCACTCAGTGGGACTCGTGGTTTAGAAGACAATGCCAGTCCCGGTCCTCAGAAGACGTCAGAAGACATCAGAACGGAGGTGCTGGCCAAGGAAATTGTCCACCAAGACAAATCTCTGGCAGACATTTTGGACCCCGACTCCAGGCTGAAGACCACTATGGACCTGATGGAGGGTTTGTTTCCTCCCGATGGTAACTTGCTGCAGGAAAACGGCGTCAAGAGGAAGGCCATGCAGAGAGCTGTCAGCTTCCCAGGACACGAAGGGAAGAGGTAGGTCCCTGGTAATGTCCCCAAGCAGACTTATAAGTGAACTCCACCCATGGGTGATAAATCTGGGGCTACTTACCTGATCTTGTCCTGCTTCCAACGATCCTGACCCAAGAGTGACATTCCCTGTCAGCTTTCGGGGAATGGCTCTGAGGTGTAGGAGGTGGGACAGACTGGCCTTGAGTTACCAGGCACTTGTCCAACAATAAAAAATAATCCTATATAATAAAAGGCTAATATGAAAATTGTCCCCTAAACTGGGAGTTCAACCAGGAGTTCGACCAGGAGGCGGGGCCGGTGGGCCAACTGCCTGAGGTTCCTCCCCCCAGCCTGCCCTGCCCCCAATCGGCCCCCTCCCCCCTATCAGGGGCAGGGCTGGATGGCCAACCTCCCATGTCCCCTCCCCCCAAGCCAGCCCAATCGGGTGGGCCTGCCAGACCCCACCTGTGCATGAATTCGTGCACTGGGCTCTAGTAACAATAGTAATAGTCTTAATACTTATTGTTCATGTTCTTTGTCAAATGCATTCATTTCTTTATATAAACACTAGAGGCCCAGTGCACAAAAATTTGTGCACTCGGGGGGTAAGGGGGCCCCTCAGCCCGGCCTGTGCCCTCTCGCAGTCTGGGACCCCTCGAGAGATAACAACCTGCTAGCTTAGGCCTGCTCCCGGGTGGCAGAGGGCAGGCCCAATCCCTAGGTACAGCCCCTGGTCGGGCTCAGAGCAGGGTCACTTGGGGAGTTGGGGCGCCGCCCCGTCATATACAGAGCAGGGCGATCGGGAGGTTGTGATTCCACCCTCAGTCACGCTCAGGGTAGGGCCGATTGGGGGGTTGGGGCACCATCCCCTGTCACACTCAAGGCAGGGTCGATGGGGAGGTTGCGGCGCCACCCCCTGTCATGCACAGAGCAGGGCTAATCAGGGGGTTGGGGCATTTCCCCCTGTCACTCACAGAGCAGGGCCCATCAGGGGGGTTGGGGCTCTGTACCCTGTCACGCACAGAGCAGGGCCAGTCAGGGGGTTGGGGAGCTCCCCCCTGCCATGCACAGAGCAGGGCCAATCAGGGGGTTGGGGCACAGCCCCCTGTCACGCACAGAGCAGGGCCCATCAGGGGGTTGGGGCACCGCCCTCTATCACCCACAGAGCAGGGCCAATCAGGGGGTTGGGGTGCCGCCACTCTCACACTCAGGCCAGGGCCGATGGGGAGGTTATGGCTCTACCCCGTCACACACAGAGCAGGGCCCGTGGGGGGGGGGGGGGGGGTTGGGGCGCCGCACCCTGTCACACACAGAGCCGCAGGGAGATCAGGGGGTTTGGGCGCTGCCCCCTGTCACGCTGATCCCGGTGCCGGGAGGCCTCACGGCTCCGCTGATCCCGGTGCTGGGAGGCATATTACCCTTTTACTATATAGAATAGAGGCCTGGTGCATGGGTGGGGGCTGGCTGGTTTGCCCTGAAGGGTGTCCCGGATCAGGGTGGGGGTCCCCACTGGGGTGCCTGGCCAGCCTGGGTGAGGGGATGATGGCTGTTTGCAACTGGTCACACACCCTTCAGGGTGGGGGTCCCCACTGGGGTGCCTGGCAAGCCTGGGTGAGGGGATGATGGCTGTTTGCAACTGGTCACACACCCTTCAGGGTGGGTGTCCCCACTGGGGCGCCTGGCCAGCCTGGGTGAGGAGCTGAGGGCTGTTTTCAGGCTGGGGGTGACTGAAGCTCCCAACCGCTCCTTTTTTTCTTTTTTCTTTTTTTTTATTCTGGGCCAGCTTTAGCTCTGAGGCTTGGCTCCAGCTCCTAGGCCTCCACTGCTGAAAGTAGGTTTCTGGCCTTTGCTTACAATGTTGCGATCCTGCTGGCTGCAGGTTTCTGGGGTTTTGTTTAGCGTCTATATTTGTTACAATGTTTGAAACTGCAGGCTCAGAGGCCTGCAGTGGCAGGCGGGAACGTTGGTTTCCTCCGTCACTGAAGCAAGCAAGCCTCATGTTAGTTTCAAGCTGCCTGGCTGCCGGCCGCCATCTTGGCTGACAGTTAATTTGCATATTGCCCTGATTAGCCAATGGGAAGGGTAGCGGTCGTACACCAATTACCATGTTTCTCTTTTATTAGTGTAGATCATCTTGTTTAATCTTCACAAGAACCTTCTGAGATAGCTACCAGTTTGATCTCCATTTTACAAGTGAGGACATTGAAGCCCTCCCATTCTCCCTCACTCACCTTTACAGAGAGCCCCACAGAGGGCAGTGCTGAGGGGGATAGAAGTGGTGAACATGGTAGAGCACCCCCCCTTGCAAGGCAGAACTGAACGGGTCTTTATAAAAAGGATGAGTCTAGAGGCATCGATTTATATACCACACTGACATTCACCTTTGAAGAGTTAGGGTGAATGCTCGTATTCTAAGAATCAAGGAAGTTCTGACTGGAACACACCGGTGGTTTTGTTCAGCCTCTGAGCCTCTGCCCCTGAAGCTCCCTGAGCCACACATGTTACAGCCCCATAACCTGTGCCAGCGCCCAGCCCCAGGGGGCAAAGGGACCGTGAGCAGTCTTTGTTTCATTCTTTTGATTTTTCCTGGGTTATTGAATATCTTCTTGCATGTTTGATTTCCTTAAAGTACTGCTATGGGAAAGATTTAGAGTAGTTTTATTTTCTTTTTAGTTTCCAATGAAAACTGAATTGACAGATTGGAACTCCACAGTTAGTTCTTCCAGACTAAATAAACAGAGAGCATTTCATCTAAAGTTGGATGTGCATTTTAGAAATTTCCAAATGATCTCACTAAATTACAAGAATGCTATATTTTGTTGGGAGTGGGGAGAAAGAAAGAGTTATGTAGTACTTACGAGCTCTTCGATATCAGAGGCTTTCCTAATACAAGGCCTGAACACTAGTCCCCTTGCCCATCCCTTCTTCTTCAGATTTGGCAGAAACAAATTGAGGTGAAGTTGACTTACCTAGGGTCATGTATTTGGCAAACATTTACTGAGCACCTACAGTATGCAAGACAATGCACTGGGTATCAGGAGGGACCCAAAGATGAGTATTTGTGGGTGTGCCAGTTAGCTCCCCATGAATGGTTGTGGTAGGTCAAAACGAGGGGCTTCTAGTCGCTTCATTCTGTCCTCTGACCACTTGCTGCAGATAGATCAGTGTGACGTATAAGTACATCCTTAGCATTTCCCAGCATTATTATTGAGAACCTATGTTCTCAGTCAGTTTAGAAGTGAAATGGTCCTGTAGCTGTTGCAGGAGGAATTTCAAAGGATACCATGTGCCATCTTCTGGTGGGAATGAGCATTGCTCTGTTGTGGGTGAGGCTGCAAATATCTATTGTGAAATTTAGTTATCAAATAAATGCATGAGAAACCCATTTGTAATGTCATGAATATATCTGGGCAGCAAGGGGAACATATCAAAAAACCTTTTTTCTATTTTTTCAATTAACTGAATTAGATGTAATTATATTGCTTAGAGGAATAGTCCCATCAAGCAGGAAACTAGTAAAAAAGACTTTTATGGGTTTTTTTATTCCACAGTAAAATGATGGTCTAGATCAGGGGTGGGCAAACTTTTTGACTCGGGGGCCACAATGGGTTCTTAAACTGGACCGGAGGGCCAGAACAAAAGCATGGATGGAGTGTTTGTGTGAACTAATATAAATTCAAAGTAAACATTACATAAAAGGGTACAGTCTTTTTTTTTTTAGTTTTATTCATTTCAAATGGGCCAGATCCGGCCCACGGGCCGTAGTTTGCCCACGGCTGGTCTAGATGTTATGTAATGTCATAGATTGAACAGCTGAAATACCTCTTTGAGAGAGCCCAAACTATTTCCATAGAGTCATTTATTCAGTGGAAAGTCTGAAAGGCAGCTTAATCTATACTAATAAAAGGGTAATATGCTAATTAGACCGGGTCAACCAGACATCTTCCGGATGTCTGACTTCTTTCCAGGCAAAGCCACCATGGTGAGGGCCAAGGCAGAGGCAGTTAGGGGCAATCAGGTCAGCAGGGGAGCAAGCAGTTAGGGGCGATCAGGCTGGCAGAGGAGGGCAGTTTGGGGCCATTAGGCTGGCAGAGGAGGGCAGTTTGGGGCCATCAGGCAGGCAGGCAGGTGAGCAGTTAGGAGCTAGCAGTCTTGGATTGTGAGAGGGATGTCCAACTGCCGGTTTAGGCCCGATCCCTGCCTAAACCGGCAGTTGGACATCCCCTGAGGGGTCCCAGTTTGGAGAGGGTGCAGGCCGGGCTGAGGGATCCCTCCCCTTCCCCCCCCCCCCCCCCCCCACGAATTTCGCTGGGCCTCTAGTTATAGTAAAACAGAGAACACTAGGTATCAGGTTTCTCAACTCCGCATTTGTTCCCCAGCCTTGAAAACCCCTGCTGTGAAATCAGTGAGATTTCACACCTTATATTCATTGACCAGCATGCTCCAGATTTCTGGGGCTTATATAGGATGTCAGGCTTAGGGAGAAGGAATATTGACAAATGTCCAAATAACAGTTATAGTCTGCATCAGAAGGATAGTGGGAACCCTGGAAGAGTAGGAAGTAACTTAAAATCTGAGATATGTGCAATAGCCTTAAAATACTTTCACAGCGATTGAGTCCTGGCTCCCCACTGTCTTTCTGTGAAATGGGGAGTCAATATCCTTCTTATATTTATCACAAAAGGAAAACCATGCAGAGAGGTAAATGACTTGCCCAGAGTCATCTGGCAAGTCCACAGGCCTGATCCCTACTCCTCCCTTCCCAGTACTGCCTTTGGTGGTTTTCATCCCAAGTTTGCCTGGATTCAGGAGCTCTGCCCATGGTTATCACTCATTAGTAAGTATTCACTAGTTAGTTCATCCTAATTTCTAGGAAGTAATTGAACAGGATTTTTTTACACATTTCTGAATGGAGAGACCTGGTGAAATGAAGCTTCTGGTATGGCTGTGTATGGCTCTACTTTTTGTTCTTTATGACGCAGGAGTGAAGAGAAGGAAGCAGTGGGCATGTTGGTCAACTGCCCTGCCTACTACAGCGTGTCGGCTCCCAAGGCTGAGCTTCTGAACAAAATCAAACATATGCCAGAAGAGATGAGTGAGGAAGAGGAGCAGGTGGATGTCAATGAAAAGAAGGTAAAGAATTGGGACCTGTGTTTTGTTTTCCCCAGAAAGCTAGTCAGGGTCCCGGCAGGGTTACTCAGTAATGCCCCTTAGGGCAAGAGGGAAAGGGGCCTGTCACATCACCAGTCGAGCCCAAACCATCATTGGCCTCCGGACTTGCATGGCACTTTGAGCAATTTCCTCACAGCCCCCTGTCATTTTCACTTTTATAAATGACAAAAGTGAAGGTTAGTGGCTATTAGTTATTTCCTAAAGGTCTCACAGCTGGGACTAGACCCCAGGTCCCCTGCCTCCTAGTCCAGCACAGAGACCACAACATTGTTCTCGAGACCCGTGGAATTTTCACTCATGATTCATGCGCAAAAGGAAAACTAGAAAATCTAGAAATTTTAAGGAGAGACTGGATCATCAGAAGACACTTTGGAAAAGGGAATGTTAATCTTTAAATTCCCCAGCTCTCTTTGCCATACCCCAGTGAAGAATAACTTGAAAGCACAGCATTGGAATTTAGCATTTGATACTCTTACAGAAATGTTCATTGCTAAGCGTTTTTAAAATGACCATGCTGCTGCTATCTTCCCCAAGCCACGGAGATTTAAGCTTGCCTGTGCCTACAGGGGAGAAGTTCCTGCCGCTCCACTTTCCCTGCAGCCCAGAGGGCTGCCCGGCCCTGGGCCCTGTGCTTACAGCCCGCGGCTCAGGCCTGCGTGCTGAAAGGACTCTTTGTTAAGGCTTGCCTCTTGCTGAGTCTGGAATGTAAATGGTTCAGTGGTACCAATTCTAGGAGAAACTCTCTCATGTGATTCCATTCACTTATTTTAGAATATGTGTCCTAAGCCCTCGTGTTTATGTATTGGAAGGAGACCACAGGATACAGACCCTGGGAGCAGGAAGTTATGGGGCAGGAAGTCTTAGGGGTTTAGAAGCACCTCCTTCAGTGGTTTTCTCCCTCCTGCGCCAGCTCAGGGGGCTCACAGCGCCAGGGCTGACTTGCTGATGCAGCCACTGTGGTAACACACTCTCTCCCTGCCCATGGTTTTCCCTTTTAAACATCTGCTTCATAGCACACTCATATCCCTATCTCAGTGCTGCTGAGCTCCCCCATTGCATGGGTCCTCTGAGCGCGGAAACACACCTAGCTCTGTTCTGTCTATGTTTGTCCCAGAGAGGGAGCTACATAAACCCTATTACAGGTATCAAGCTGCCATGACATCTTTCAATAATGGAACATTTTACTTTTCTTATTTTTTCCATGTAGATATACCCTGCTCTACAACAGCAGTGTGGCATATTATTCATTGCTTTGCCCTCCACATCTCAATTTTATTTTTAACCTCTTTGTCATCACTTTATTATCACCCTCTCATTCTGAGGATTATGTGGCACAAAGTATTTTTGGACTGAGTATATGAAGGAAGAGAGGATTATTCCTCATGGGAAATAACATTAGATGCCATTTATTGAGTACTTCCTATATTCTACGTGTGAGGGGGTGTTTTTGTTGTTTTTTTGGTGTGTTTTTTTTTAACATACCGCTGTATTTATTTTCACAAAACTGGATCGTCACATTTTATACTGAAGTAATCGAAATGAGTCAGACAAGAGGAGATGGGGACATTCAGGACAAAGGAAGTGGGGTGGGAAAAGACCTAGAGGTGTGGAAAAGCATAAGGAGGGTGTGTCTTGAAGAAAGGAACTTCTGGTAGCTTGGTATTTTGGAATATAAAACAAAGTGACTAGCCCACCTGGATGAGCATCATTCTATGAACCAGTGGGGTCATGGTTCAATTCTCAGGGCACATGCCCAGGGTTTGGGCTGAATCATCAGTAGGGGGCGTGCAGGAAGCAGCGGATCAATGATTCTCTCTCATCATCGATGTTTCTATCTCTCCCTCTCCCTTACTCTCCGAAATCAATAAAAACATTAAAAAAAAAAGTGACTAAATTAGAAATGGCCAAATTTAGAAAATAAAGGAGGGCCACATACAGCAGGAGATGGGGCTGGGAGGATCCACTGGAGCCACCGCATGATCACCAGGGGCTTTGGTGCGAAATGCTGAAGGGTTCGATTTCTGCCTTCAGCAATGGAGAAACCTTGGAGAGTTTTTTGTTTGTTTTGATGAACTACAAGTTTATGAATGTGTAATGGAATTTTTGTGAGTGGTACTTACATTTGCATATCTGACTTGTAAAGAGAAAATATGTGAACGTGACATGAAGTTGAAGGCATCTATTAAAACGCTCAGCATACAGTTGAAAGTGCAGTTCTCCTGATGTACAAGCTCTCTAACAATGATTTTCAAAAATGACGCATGGTCAGTATTCACTCCCCAAGACTGTTCTGAGGCAGAGGGTAGCCTTTCACCAACTTTTGCAAAGTAGAAATTTGTTGCCCAATATTCCAAACTTATTAATACCCTAAGGTGCATCTCTAGGCATGAAACTCACCAAAAATCAGTGGAAACTAGAGTCCTGATTTATTAATGTTTGTTAAATTGAAATTGGCATTTTAAATTAATTCCATTTTAATATATTTTCTATTTATATATCCAGCCTAGATGATGAATTATAATATTCCAAGTAAATATAAGTGTTACTTAAAATATGAAACACTTTCATTGTCTGAACTTCTGACATACATAAATACTAAAGGCAGTTTGATACCAACTCCTTAGCTAAACCCTGCCATATCTATTGGCAAAAATCTGCTTGAGCAGAGCCCATGATTCTCGATTCTGAGGGCAAAAGGCTTTGGCTTAGAGACTTAGTGGAAAATTTTAAAAGGCAAAAAGAATCTGTTGTTCCCTGGAATTGGCTTTCCCCAAGAGATCATTAGTGACCCAGATGGTTCTCAGCTGCCCTTTCCGTTCCTCCTCCTTCAGTCTTGAAGTCCCAACCTTCCCTCTGCTTTGTCTTCCTTTCAGCCTGAAAAACTTGCCCTCGCATTTCTTTAGAATAGGTCTGCTAGTGACACATTCTTTCAGTTTTTCTTCATCTAAGAATTCCGCTGTCGCTCCTGAAGGGTATTTTCACAGGGATTCTGGGCTGCCTGTTCCTTTTCTTTAGCATTTTAGAATTGTTGCTGCACTTTCTTGTTTCCACGATCTCTGGTGAGAAATGCCGTCATATAAATACTCGTTCCTCTCATACGCAATGTGTTGTTTTTCTCTGGCTACTTTAAAATGTTTCTTCTTTATTTTTGATTTTCAGTAGTTTGATTATGATGTGGGTGGGCCTGATTTTTTTTGGTTTATCCTGTTTGGGTTTGCTGAGCTTCTTGATTACATAAATGTATGTCTTTCACCAAATGTAGGACGTTTGCAGCCGTTATGTCTTCAAATATGTTTTGTGCGCTGATCTTCCTCTTCTCTTTTTGGGACTCCGGTGACATGACACAAATGTTAGACCTTCTGATATAGTCCCACAGGTCCCTGAAGCTCCGGGTTTGTTGTTGTTGTTGTTGTTGTTGTTCAGTCTGGTTTTTTTGCACTTCTTCTGGTTGGATAATTTCTGTTAGTCTATCTTCAAATTCACTGACTTGCCTGTCTCCATTCTGCGAGTGATTTCTTTCTTTAATTTCAAATATAGTTTTCAATACTAAAATTTCTATTCAGTTAGCCAAGAAATAGACACGACAAGAAACTGAGAACTTCTACCTTTTCATTTCACGGGTGCTTGCTTTTATCATGGAGCATCGTTATAAAAAGTATTTTAAAGGCTTTGGTAATAATCCCAACATTGGGGTTATTCTTGGTGTTAGTGCCTGTTGATTATCTCCCCCTGAATTGCTCACATTTCATCGGTTCTTTTTATCTTGGGTGATTTTGTATTGTATTCTGCACATTTTGAGTATTATTCTGTGGGACTCTGGGTTCTGTTAAAATCTCCTGGAAAATGTTGACTACAAGTTGTAGCCCCCCTCTGGGTGGTGGTTCAGAGACTTGGCTGTGTCCCACACTTCAGTCGTTCAGGGTTAGCCTGGGACTTGGGCAGTTATTTCTATCGCGTTCCATTCTCAAAGTCTTTGCAGTGCCTCTGTGGGTCTGTCCCACACACGTGCAGCTTAGGTCAGTTCTGCACAGAATAGGGGATCTTTTCCAGCTCTCTACTGTTCAGTGCCCCCCCACCCCACCCCACTCTCTGGCTCCCAGCAGCCCATTTTCCTGGGCATCTGGCCAGAAAGACACATTCTCATGGTTATATAGAAAGATAAGTTCTAGCAACAAGTATAAAACCTGAGCGCTGTACCATTCTGCACTGCTGGGACCGCCCTCAAGAGAGGAAGAGAAAAGGTGGTGAGGATTCCCCTCGTGCTCTTTGGACCACAGGTCCTTTTCCCAGTTGCTCTGACGGAGAGAAGGGTTTTCTCTTGGAGTTTAAATGCAGGAGCCTCCCCTCACAGTGCATGCAGCTCTGTTTACGTGGAGTCACCTGTGGTGGGGGCAGGGCGAGGAAAAAAAGAGAGAACGGATTTCGAAACAGGAAATCCCCCCACTCTTGAGCTCACAACAGCCCGTTTCTCGTCCTCTGGTTTTAAAGGCAGGGCTTTTCCTGGAGTTTTTGCCACCACACTGTCTGTGTAGTTCTGCCTGGGGGCTATTCTCAGGTCAGAGCTCACACATAAACTCACCTCCATTATGGATATACTTCAAGGCTGGCTGCCCTCCGGGTCACTGCCATAGTTCACTTCACTGAGCCCTCTTCCGAGCCTAGGACGTTGGCTGCAGTAAGCAGGGAGAGAGGCCTCGGGGTTATGCCATCTTGGCCAGCATCGCAAGTCACCGCCTCGCCCCCGCCCCTCACCCCCCCTCCCCAGGTTTATCAGCAGGGAGCTCTGCATTGCAGCAGCTGTGTGAGGACATGGGGACACACACACACACACACACACTGTTTATCAGCAGGGAGATCTGCATTGCAGCAGCTGTGTGAGGACATGGACACACACACACACACACACACACTCACCGTTTATCAGCAGGGAGATCTGCATTGCAGCAGCTGTGTGAGGACAT